GGGGATTATTCAACTTTTACCTCTTTTCAGTGGCAAATATCATATTCCCTGTGTTTGGCCGTAGGGTGCTGATGGCTATCTAAACCCAGAGAGGTGCTAACAGCATTTCAACTGTCTGACCAATAAAGAAATGATTGTCATTTGTATGGTAGGAGGACTGGTGCAATTACCTCTGGATAGTCTGAGAACAATATGAGAGCCTCAATTCAAAACCACTTTCAATTCAAATGAAGGCAGCTTGCCTTGCCCACGATGGGGGGGAAGCGAAACGATGTGCAAACACGAGGGCAGGAAAGTTTAGAAGTTGTTCCACAGATAGGGAATTTATAGTGGAATGAGGTTTCCCCATAAGTTTAGGTTCTGACTTTGGAAACAACTATAAGGCCGGTACCAGAGGACCTGAGGGTAAAAGCCACTCCTACATACGTGTGGAGACCTACAAATACCTAGTTTTGTATGGACTGGACTGGGGGACCAACATGGATGCCGTGTACAAGCAGGAAATGAGCAGACTTCACTTCCTAAAGAAGCTCAGCGCTTTCAATGTTTGCAGCAACATTTATGTAATCTCTCATGAGTCTGTGGTAGCGAGGGCCTTCTACTGATCTGTGGTTAGCTAGAGGAGCAGCATCACTGCAAAAAAACCAGAGCAAGATCAACAAACGGATCCAGAAGGCTGGGAAAATAGCTGGACACAAACTTGAAAGTCTATGATTGGCAAAAGAGCCCTCACTAAGCTGCTTTACATCATAGACAGCAGTTTGCATCCCATCCATGAAACCGGCCAGAGACAGTGGAGCTAATCTTCTAACAGAATGGTCAGACTTTGCCGTCACATTGACTGTTTCAGAAAAGAAAAAAAAAACTCTTATACCTTCCACCGTCTCACCTCTGTGATGGATGATCCCATTTCTACTCTCCATGTTTTGCATCTGTTCAGTCTGTTCACTGCCCAGTGTGTTCAGTACCAGTAAATGGCTATCTATACCCCCTTTTTTTGCACTGATCATTTCCACAATAATCTCTCCTTATGCTAAAAGGAACCATCAACAGGTACTATTATTTTTAGTGCATTTCTAATTCTTCCATTGTGTGCATACTTTTGTAATTTTTCTTGCTCGTCAGTTATTGTGTTTTGGTGAATAATTTCTTTATCTAGCTCTGTGGCCACATTGTTAGCTGCTACTGTTACAAAACAACCCTTGTTGGAACCATTCCTTGTATATGTGGCCTGAACTGCCCCCAGTGATGCTTTTACCTGTTCTGATAACCCACTTTAATAGTGAGGTGTTGGACTTTGCTTTTAAAAGTTCCTAAAAGTGTTTAAAAGTTTCATTCAACACCTGCAAGAGCATTTAGTTTTTCCTGGCTTTTTTTAAGATGTGTTCTTTCACCTTTGGTCGGACCTGTTCTTGGTATTTTGATGTTCTAAATGTTGCCATTTGTCACTGGACACTTTCAGGAAGATGGGAGTGCCAGAACAAAGGGCCAAAGGGCCAAAGGAAGGCAGTAGTAAGGTACTATTGTGTAGCATGTGAAGCAGGGGCTACTTTGACCATTTTTTACTCTGAACCCTGGTGCTCACTTGGAATAGAACCGGTATATGACTGACTGTTCACTCTTCTATTTCTAATGTGAGGTAAGGAGTGTAACTGAAAAGGCTCAACTCTTTTCCTTCTCTAATAGCACTATGTGGTAGAGGAACAAATCCCATGTTCACATGCAGATGTTGCTCTTTTTGTCTTAGCTGTACTATGCCAGGTGAAAGAAGACTTCATTGGGGAGTGGATGACTCAGACCCCAACGTTTCACAACAGCCTGCACATTTCCAAAATGGCCCTTATCTCTTATATATTCGCTTTGACAAGCATGCGACTTGTTGAAGTGGCAAAGACACATCGCAAAGATGTGAGTAATTAAAAACTTTTTCTTCATAGCCTCTCACCATTTACGTTCTGTCAACACCATGACCCCACATCCGGTCAAATCTGGCACTGCTTTGCTCCGCGGTGCTAACTGCATATGGCAGCTTGCAACAAGTAAAAAAAAAAGAGCATGCAGGCAGCAACCACGATCAACGTGCATATTTGTAGTTAAAATCAAATATATCCCAGGCCTTACCACTAACAGTGTCTGTAAGTTTTAGTAATAACTGCTTCCTTACAAAATCATGCTTACTCACAAACAGCGGAGGCTAAAACTGCCACAGAGCTCAGCAATGCTGTGGGACACCTAGATTGGTCCCCACAATCAAACATTAAAATTTCAAACATCTTTGATGTTTTTTTTCCATTTCCCAGGCCTCATCTCTGAAACAGCTGGAAGAGGTTCTGCTTTGGAGTTCTGCTTTGGAGTTCTTTCCCTCACATGTTGCAGCAGCTCCAAAAAGAGGATGTTCATAAAAGTCTGGCCATGATTGCTTTATGTAAATCCTACGACGGTGTTGATCTTACCTGAGCCGGAGTTGTGTTTAGCTGTGTTGGAGGACGTGTGAGAGGTGGACGTGGAGGCCACCCTCTGCTCGGAGCTCAGGTTGTCCTGACCCGCAGCGGAGCTGGACTTCCTGGGCTTCTTGTCTGTCAGGTGCAGTGGGGAGCTCTTCTTGGGGGGGGGCAGGGGTCGCCGGGGCCTGGCGGTGGCGTTGACCCTCAGCCAGGCCTGGGCTTTGTACTCCACGATCTCCCCGTAGTTAGCCCTGGTCACCCGGCACTCGTACAGTCCCTCGTCATTTTTGCTGACTCTGGAGATCTGCAGCTTGTGTGAAATGTCGTTGCCTTGGACTTTCACTGTCTGTTAGAGCAAGCAGAAGAGGCCACAGGGTCAGTACATGTGACAGTCTGATTGTCCAGCAGCCAGTGTAAAAATAATCATCCATTTTCAGTGAGAAAACCTCTGAACACATGACAAAGTCTAAAAGACCTATACCAGCGTGGACATTCTGCGCCCCAATGCTAGAAAGCAATGTTATTATTATTATTATTATTATTATTATTATTATTATTATTATTATTATTATTATTATTATTATTATTATTATTATTATTATTATTAGTAGTAGTAGTAGTAGTAGTAGTAGTAGTAGTAGTAGTAATAGTAGTAGTTTTTTATTTATTTATTGTATTTTATTTTTTTATTGAAAGGACATTTGCACCTATTATAAATAACATATAACACATTACCATCATCTATCTGTACATCAATATCACCCTAATCACCTTAAATATTATTCTTAAGATGCTGAGGGCTGTTTTCAGTTATTTCTTTTTGCACAAAATGCAGAAGCTTTTGGTCCACATAGTCTTGGAGCCGAAGACTATTTTTAGGTTTTTACATGCATGTTCAGTTAAATGAAGGATAAAGCGGAAAGAAAACCATGTAAATGCACATTATAAATCAATAAAACTTATGAGCATGGAAATTGATGCTGTTTTACATGCTCACAGTTTTAGCTATAAATATCCGCTGAGTTTATGCCCCTTGCCCAGTGTCTCTGATACACTGACATGTGAGTTAGCAGGATCTTCAGTCTGTCATTTCCCAGAGCACACAGCCATTTAGGATCTGAGAGCTCTACTGACATCAGTCATTAGAGGGCTGTGTGGTGCACGGAGCACAAAAGGCACATACGGAGTTTTGAGAAAAATGGGCAGAATGGTTGCTGCTGCATGATCACAGGAAGGGAAACACTCTGACAGTAATAATGTACTGCCACCAGCTCACTGATTAGCTCCTTTCTCTGTGGAGGTGTATTTTTCAGGAAATCAGCCGCTGTTGTGTTTGCCCTGAAAGAATCTCTGCCAACTTGAGTCATGATGGAATATGTTGGGAAAGTGCCGGTTTGCTACTGGGTATTCATGACGTGTTCTTCAGCTTACACTTATTTTTGTCCCTTCGTCATCAGGATCAGGCTCTTGTATCATCTCCATCTGGAAATACAAAGAAAAGAGAGGATTATTAAAGTGGCAGAAGCCTGTTGAACACAAGCTAGCTCAAAGAGCCACTTAGAGGGAAGATACGGAGACATATTTATGCAGAGCAATTGTCAGGCTCCCAGAGACCAATGCTAAAGACTCCTCTAACAAACAGAAGAATAGGCTTCATCTATCCTCTGAGACTGATGAATATTTTAAACCAGCATCAACGCAGAGTTTGAGGTCTGAGTGACTGTGTTGCCACTGTTCTGCCTTAAAAATAAAAAATGCTACTTCCTCACTTCCTCTGTCTTATATTTAGATTCAGTAAGTGCTTTTGTAGAGAAATTAAAGGCAACATCCAGATGTTGCTCAATTTTAAGGGGAAAAAAACAAAACAAGTTCAAACCAGGATGCTGTGTGACCAACATGCAGCTTCCTGTGACAAATCCCAGCTCTGCAGTCTCTGCGATAGAAATGGAGCTACCTGAGAAAAATATTTGACTAATAAATGTCACAAGGGCTTCAAAAATCTCTTTTTTCATTAAAGCACAAAAACACTTAAAATGTCTTTGCTCGAGTCCTTTCTGGCATAACTGTAACGTGGTGGCCAGCATTAAGCCCACGGCCAACATCATGGAATGGGCATCGATTTTTAGAGGTTATAATTTATTTATCCCACATTGGATGCCAAATGGATGTGTTCCCAGGGGATGCAAAAGGCTGCTGACACAAAGCTGAAGAGGAGCAAGTGCAGCATTTTAGAAAAAAAAAACAAGAAAACTTGAGAGGAGAAAGAGAGGGAAGTTTCTCCAGAGGACATGGAAGCTATTTGCTTCACAGTGGAGACGCACACACAAAAGGAAAGGGCAGGATTGGGATGAGATGGCTACTTATGAGCATTTGCTGCGCACGGTGCTCCTTCAAGTTCTGTAATTACTTTGGTGGAACAGGGCCACTTTTCTCTGGAGGATGTGCGGCAGACAGGTGATTAATGGGGAGAATTAGGAGCCATAACTTCTCTCTTTCTGCATTTATGCATGAATCTTATATTCTGACTTCACAGACGGACCTGGCATCCTCTATTGTAGGAGATGGAGATTGTAAGAAATGTCTTCAGACGAGGCAGGATTAATTGTCTTCGATCTTAGAGTCAGGACTGTTTAAAGTCATCACTTTCAGCCTGCTCTTTTACATTGACCCTACAGTACTTGCACAGGCTTGGCGGTCAGTCCTTTCATGGCACCAGATCCATCAGGTCTTCCTGTCAGATCTAAAATTTACATTACTTCTCCAGTATTTCATCTGTGACATTGAAAATTAGCATGCCATTACAATAGCTGTACACGATTTTCAGGTTTTAGAGTTTAAACTGTTGGTTGACTGTTGTAATTGAAGATAAACAGTTTTATTTAAATACCTCCACATGTATTTTCAAATCTCTAATTTAAGGTCTTTTTTATATAATTACAGGATTTTTCATGAGGACTTACATGAGCTTAAAATCCTATTCTGAGAAACAGAAAACCAATGAAGAGAAGCTAAAGCTGGAGAAATGTGATCCTTACTGCTGGTTCTCATCAGAACTCTGGCTGCAGCTTTTCATATCAGCAAGAGGCTTTGTGCAAGTACTTTAAAACAACTGTTTTCTTTGAATTTTCACCTTGGAAAAATCAAGTCCCCTGACTGATGTTGTGCTCATGGTTCATCTCAAAACACTCATATGTATGCAGGAGGGCTTTTTAAATTACATAAAAGCTGTCTTCACGTATAGATTTGACCTATAGTTTGTTGTGAGACTGATTCTGATAAACTGCTAAAAGTAGCTAAAAACTGAAAGAAGAAATTGGTGAAAATAAATGAAACAGGGTTACATTTTTTCATATTTAATGGAATATCACTGCACCCTGATTCTAATTAAAAGCTACATTTTCCAAAGGTTCACACTTGTTATTCATCCATCCATCCATTTGTGTAACCACTTATTCCCTAATGTGGTCACAGGGGGACTGGAGCCTGTCCCAGTGGTCAATAGGCGAGGGGGGAGTCTCCCTGAACCAGTTCAAACATGGGCGATCACATATGTAGATGCTGCTGTTTTACTGTCTAGTGTTTTGTATTTCTCCACCTTTTGCAGCTGGAGCTGCTCTGAAAACAGACACTAAGTGATGAGGCCAAATGTTTAAGTCACTGGAGTAAACTCTGATAAAAACAAATGTCTCCCAAAGCTCATCAGGCAACAGAGTTGGTAGCAGGGATGAAGTTTCACAAGATACAAGATGGCAGCATTAGGCATCAGAACCAACAACTGTAGCTGTATACAGGTGGGAACAGTGCAGGAGGAAAAAAAAAAAAAGAGAGATTCAACCTTTTTTCTGTCATTTTAGCACATCTCTCCTTCAACTCCGGGTTAAGTGACTGTACTCATTTGTTCACATACTGGAAAAACAAACCTTTATCTAGGTTGTCATCTACCTCTCAAACATTTTGAATAATTTCTTCCATATTGCATTCATAACATTTAACTAAAAAAGTGTATACATTTGTAAATCCCTTTTTCACCTTCCACTTAAAACATTCAAAATGTTTGTCTGAATGTCCAACGTTAAATCATATTCCATTATTAATAATAAACATGTATTATCGGCTGTAAACAGATTGTAAATTAATTACTTGCATTATTGATTTAGCTTTGCCTGTCGGAAAAAATCGAAACCTTTATTAAAAACAATTACTGTTGCTTCATGTAGATATTCAAGGTTGAAGTTTGAATCAGTGATGAAATTGTAAAAGTTTTTCCTGACATTGTCAAACCAGGCCACGATTATTTTCTCCTTTTGTATTTCATTTCCGTCACGAGTGCCTCCTGAGCCACGGCTGCTCACGAGTGTCTCAGTTTAAATTGCTTGTCTCTTTATTGCAAAACCCTTCCACCATGACACACTGCCTATTCTTCATTCAAATCTTAAATTGACTTCTTGTAAAATGTACTCTGTAATTACTGTGCATCAAAAAAGCCTCATTGAGCGGCTGAGACTAAATGGATGTCACAAGAAGAAAAATGATGATCATTTCCACTGAAAAGTGGAAATGACCCCCCCTGACCAGCTGCCATTGCACCGCATTTCACAATATGATGGAAGAGAATCCCATCTGAGGTCCTGGAGTCTGGCTGATAGAAAAGACCAATGATTAAAGCAAACAATGAATAGAACAAATCAAAAGCTTATCAGCTTTAGAAACACAAACTCAAATTTAGAGGAGTGCTCAGGGCCAGAATCATCTTCAGCCTGTCCCTTAATCAACATAATTTAACAATGCATCCATCGGTATGTGCCCTGGCCCAGTGGCATCACACCCACCAGCAGGAGGCTGGGACTGACCGGTCCTGGTGCAGCTGAGCTGCCCCCAGCCCAGACTGGACTCATACCGTTAGCCGATCAGAGCAACAGGAGCATAGATGATGTCATTTCCTCTGGACTGCTCTCTGCTCACACACCTGGACAACAGCAGCACCAATGCATTATTGGTGTTTGCTGCCTTCAGCTCAGCTTTCAAAATTATCCTTCTCCTCGAGTTAGCCACCAGATTTCGACACCTGGGCCCCAGCACCGTCTTCTGTAAGTGGATTTAGGACTTTGAGCCCTTTCCTCCAGCCCCTCCCCACCGTACTGTGATTCCTCACAATAATTCAAGTCATCATAGCAGGACACCATTTTTTTATCGGACTACGAAAAACAACTCTTGTCAGATGGATCGAGTTCTTTGGTCATCGTTTTAAGCCATTCAACATTTTATCCTTCTGGCCTTGAAAATGTTTTTCTGACTTTTTATCAACTGCTACCTTGAAAACGTTTTAAAGTATTATAATAATGAACCAATACAAGACATTAATCTTAATCACCCTAAACATCCATATTGCGACTTTTAAATATTTTTTTGATGGTTGCTGGTTCCTGCTTTCTTATATATCTATCGTAATTATATGTAAAGTGGTAATATCTACACCCACTTTAAGCTTTTAGCTGAAAAAAGTCAGACCCTCATAATCAAAGACAGATTGCTCTTTGAAGGGCCTGTTTGTCCTGATGCTCATCAATAGAATATACACATCCATCATGTAAGAGTCCTGAGATAATAGTTCCTTCAAATCCTGCAGCTGAGAACTATCAAGTATCATATTTCTGCAGGTACTAGAGATTTCTCCAGGAGGGAATTATGTGCACTCTGAGTCTGTGGTCTTTCTCTGAGAGGTTACAGATAAGAATGCAGAGAATGTTGAGCTGATGTCGAGTCAACATTCGACAGTGGTGCTGAGATGAAGTTAACATGGCAACATATTTATTGTATCCTCCTCAGATATAGCCTCACTTTGAAAGTACTTTAAAACATTGTGAACAAGGTGCGTGAAACTATCTTTTGTCTTGTAACATCACAATGGATGCAACATAATTACATATCCTAATGTCTTAAAATGTTTAACTTAAACTTATTAACGTGATTTAAAATGTTGATCCTTTATAATCCATTTATTATGTAATATAAAGTTAATATGTAATGTCATCAGTATGTGACAGCCAGTGAAGTGAAATTGTTGCCCAATATGAAATTACTGGACAACCTTCAGGCCGCAATTCCTGGAAACTTCATCAGAGCTCGCAGACAGAGGCCTCTGCTAGATAGTCCTATTCCCCCCCCACTCATCTTCTGAGCGGATCTAACTCAGGACCAGATCTAGCTCTAGCTCTAGCTCACTAACAGCCGACAGCTCGGCCCCAAAAGGAGAAGGAGGAGTGGAAAAACATGACCACAGGCAGCTGCTGTTGATCTCTGCCAAAATTCAACCCTTTGTCTTTTGTAGTGGGGTTGCTCATGCTAATGCTACTACATCAGTGTGTTTGTGGGCAGGGGATTGGTTAAGCAGGTGGTAAAGGCCAAATGACTGGACCCGACCACATTTGAAGATGGGGACGGGAAATGCTTTAATGTTCCACCCTGTTATGCGTGACATTGTTTGGCCACTTGTTTGGTCACATTTGGAGTACTGGCCTGTCATTTGGCCAAGAGCTGCTGTGAAACGAGAACAGAGCAGCCTGATCAGTTCTCCTGTGTTATGAAATAGAGATGCATTAACAATTACCACAGTTAGCGATGTTAAAGCTGTGAGCATTGCGGTTTAGCCCCCTGTAAACACCTGGATATGCAGCAACTTTTGCCCCACAGTCAGAGATGAAGAGGGAGGGGCCCATAAGCAGCAGCAAATCTATTCCAAATGCATGCTGTCATTCCAAAGGAGCAAAAACCAGCGCTATTCCAGATTAAAATCCCATTTTGTATAGTGGATAGTGCAGTGGTGGTGTGTTATTCTTCTCTCCTTTGATGATTTGATTGGCTTTTATTTCTCTTTAGTTAAACTCAAGTTGCAGACACGCTGGAGTTTGTTAGCCAAGCCATCTCAGCATAATGAGGAACATTTTTTCAGCACAGGTCACTTATTTGTTTGTAACCATTTTGGATTTTCCCCACATATCTGTTTTTTTCTTTCTTTTCATTCTTTTTATATTCTTTAGCCTTAATATTGTCACCAACCTGACTGCACTCTCCATCGGCTGGCAAATTTGACACTTGCTGTTTATTGCCAACTCTGTAACAACACTGTCCCCTCCTGTGGAGCCCCATGAGACCCGTGCCCCCCCCCCCTCCCCAAGCATGACTGTACACATATGAATATAAATGTATGAACACATACATACATTAAATTTGTGTATTTATCATGCAGTCAGGATATGAGTGTTTTTTTTTCTTTTTTATTTATCTACATGAAGCACTTATATATAAAATAAAGCAATCTCACAACTACTAATTCGGTATCAATATCAATCAATACAAAGAGGGTCAATGCCATATTTAAAGATAAGGAGAAAGATTTTGCATAAATTCCATAAAAATGTCTGTATATATATACAACATCATATTCTGCTTATTACGCTCTAACAATTTTACAGCTTTGTAAGGTCACTTCCTTTAACAACTTGCTGTAAGCATTAAGGGCCTGAGGACTGATTCCTTAATCAGTTCTCGCAATCATTTTTTCACTAAGGTTTCTCGGGCTTACATTTCCCAATTTGCTTGTTTGTAGCTACTGAGTCATGATTGGCCATGATGGATCCTCATCTTCATCACATTAATTACGCTCTGCACACGAGTCCCAAATGCTGTGCTATCATGCAGGTATGCAAATTAAATGATTAAAAAACAATTAATCACAAATTCAAGTTTTTCTAATTGAACCCATACAATATATGATGGAGAATACAAGACCTATGTATGTATTGTCCTGTGTTTAGATAAGAAGTGTGTTCGGTTGAAAATCTGTGAAAAGTTACTTTGTCAAACAGTCACCTTCTTGCTGTTGTCCATCAGGCTCATTTCGAGCCTGCTCAGGATCCAAAGGATGACTTCAGGTCAGTCACGAGAATGTGCAGTCTTTGTGCTTTTCCTTTTCCGTGAGAACAAATGAAGCTTTCGCGTGGCCTGTTGTTGTCAGAGGATATTTGCGGGGTTTTCCTCAGCGTAATCTGCATGAGTGTTCCTGTAAACACAGGGCCCCGGGGTGAGCAGCAGAGTGATGCTGGGGTGGGAGCTCTGGCTAAGTGACAGGGCTCTGATACTCAGCGACACGTCTCCAGTTTTGATGGATGTGTTTATTGTCTTAAAGATCAATTCCAGCCAGGAGAAATTCATTATTTCCACTAATGAGTTATGAGTGCTGCATGCATTTTAAATCATGTCTCTCCTCTTGGTGAGGCAGGAGGGAACAGGATGTCCTTCTTTATGTACAAAATGAGTAGTTTGGTGACAAACACAGTACTTTGTCTGGTAAAGGGTTTCCTAATTACAATGCTCACCGACTCCAACTGCAAATGTTTTGAGTTGAAACTGTTTGTTACTCTACTCATATCCAAAGGCTGACAGGAGTATGATTCACATTCAAACACCAATCCCTTTACAGCACATTTGTGACACAGTAATTACCTGTAAACCATGGAAGAGCTTGAATTTCAGAGGATTAATATCTTACTCTGTGTAATGATATGATAATTATATGGGATACCTGATTCAAAGACGAAAAATCTGCTCTCAGTGAAGAGTCAAACTAACTCAAAACAGGACACAATGCATGCACACATTATTATTATTATTATTATTATTTTAATGTATGACAATGACCTCTTTAACGAGCACATTCTGGTATCCATATTAATGCTTAAAGGAGGATAAATCACTTCACATTTCCATCACTGAGGTCGGACGCAGCTCTTGTCTTGCAGAGGTCCTCAAACATACTCTTCACCATCAGATTCCTGCGGCTTTGGCTGTGAGGTTTCAAGCAGCCTTTTTAACTGTGGATTGTTCTCAGCTCTGTTTACATCTCAGTGAAATAGCTCCTCTGAAGTGAATAACTCCTCACTCATAAAAATATCAGAGTGCAGCATGATCGCTGCCTGCAAGTGTAATCAAAATAGGATATTTTCTTTCTTTCATCGTCCATGAAACAAACAGGGGGCGTAAAAGAGTTACTGACCAAAAGACAGCAGTCCGCCCTCAGGACGCATGGCTGCTTCTTCTGAGAGATCATTGGTTCAGTTTTACGTCAAAGGGCAAATGTTTTAACTTTCTAAATTCCATGACTTAGAGTTTTAAAGTAATAATCTATTTCATTAATTTTCATTCTAAAAATCAAAGAAGCTTCATGCTTCTTCAACATTAGTGGTATTAATTCCTGCTCTGGCTTCTTACAGTGTTCAGAAGGACGGCACGTTACCAATAATCAATTGACAATCTCTACTTTGACATCCTGTGTGTTTACAGATTTATTGTAGGGTTAATCTAACTGTTGTTTTGAGGTTAATATTGGTCTCAGTCTGATTTGCTTTTGGTTCATGAACCTCTTATGAGCCCTCAGGTGTTATTACAGCGATATTTTATTAATTCTCTGCATAAGCACGAGCAGGATTTAGCAATAGCGGCTCTTGTGTAGGGAACAGCTTTCCTGGGAGTTTTAATCTTTTCAACAAAAACTCAAAAAGAATCTGTATTTCAGTACCTATTCTCTTTCTTGCTGACTAATGTTAATTAGGCTTTTCTCCAGCTCTGACAGTGGGGCTGGGGTGGTGAACACCACTGCACTTATCATTCCATGTCTGGACGTATTCTTTTCAATGCTTTAATTATTACATTTATAGGGAAAGTACAAATAAAGGTTAATTACTTGACTGAAGGGAGGTTTCAGGGCAGTGACACTACCTGTCTGTGAGCTGTAAGCTGTATTACAAAGAACGCAAAGCTCATTAACGTTTTTCTTTTTTTTCCTTTGGTCATTTAAAATAGAGACTTTATTTTCACATTGTCGGGACATGGTTCGGAAACCAAACTCAAGCCTCAAATCCAGTGTGTTGTTAAGGCTATGCCTGTGCTCTCTGTGCTTAGAACTGAAGTTAAAACAAATTTCCCTTTGGGGAAAGACTCAATGACACCTACATTCATCAATTTGAGATGCACAAAATTCCCTTTTCTGACTAAAAGGCAGATTTTCAGTTAAATGTCCTGCTGCTTCATGCTGGTTTTCAGGTTACTGTTCCATGAGTTTCCTGACAACATTCAGTCAAACACCCTGCAGTAGAACTGGAATCATTCAATAAATGGTACCTCTGGCACAAAACCCCCCCCAAAAAACCCTGTTAAAGCTGCTTTGCCCTGAGGATATTTTAAACACACACCCTCTGGGAGGCCGCTCTGGTTCATCATCAGTAAAAATAATGTCAATGCTTTTTTCAATACCTTGACAGTTCAATGTTCTAAAACAGTTTCCAGCTTGACTCTGGTTATGTTGTTGGTTGCCTACTTTGTGTTCTGTTGTCGTAGTAAGCACGGTACAAACCATATCCAATATGAAAGCAGGATACACTCCCATTGCTCTTTCAGTGATGTCATCAGCACATGTCAGTCTGACTAATCTTTATCTCACTGTCCTTCTCTCTCTAGTTGTGTGTTTTATGTGAAATTTGACCAGGGGAGGAAATATAGCAATTGCAGCATATGAGACACACCCAAAGCATTCTGGGCAAATGTAAGCTGTCCTGAATCAATGGCATTGACCTTCTACACCGGTGTAGATGGTCTTTAGCCCAAACTATACTTTTAAGCATTAAACACATAATGCACTTTCACATATACTGTTTGACAAAAAAAAATAGACAGAATAAATACGTAAAATACACACCCATTTTTTTCTATGCCCAATTATTCTATAGAGTCTTTATCAGGCAAAGGTGGTGGGCCACACTCTGGACAGGTTACCAGTCCATCTCAGCTACGCAGAGAGAAATGAGATATCAATTCAGAGTCATTGATTAACCCTCGGTCATAGTAACCTACACATTGGAGACCAATAAGCATACATGTTGTCGGTGGTAGGAGGCATGCAGTGTACCTGGAGGGAACCTCCATATAAACCGGGACATCTGAAGGCCCCTGGCTGGGATTCAAACTGAGAACACTCTTACTTTGAAGTAATAGTGCTTCCCACCACAACATTATTCAATAGTATTTCTGAATAAAAAGACAGTTTAGGTGGTTGAATGCTTGATGCATTTCTGACTTTGCAGAGAAGTCCAGTGAGCTGGATGAAATGTTGGTGTAAAATGGGCAAGAACAGCTGCTAAGAAGCCATGACTGGAGGACTGGAACTGATGGAGGAGCCAAATAAAAGGCCATTGGGGATTTTAGGGATTCAAAGAGTGATCATACAGAAGTTTCATCCAAAGCAAGCCTCAGACGAGCTGATAGGTGGAGGAGGGAAGTCTGGGCTTCCTTACTGTGGAGGCTGGCCCTGGAACCCAACTGTACGCAAGCAGAAGATGGATGGATGGATGGATGGATGGTGGATGGATGGATGGATGGATGGATGGATGGATGGATGGATGATGGATGGATGGATGGATGGATGGATGGATGGATGGATGGATGGATGGATGGATGGTCTATTTAGTGTGGAAAAACTATATTCATGGTTTTGATTTTTATTTTTATAAAAATGTATAAATCAGACTTTGGAAAGATTTCTATAAAATGATGTATTCTCATTTCCTTACCAGGTGGCCAAATAAATGTGTTAAGCGCTGTAGATGTGTAACAGTGTGATATACACATGTGCAAAAACAAGAATATTGGAAGATGAATTGTGTGTGTGAGATAAGTTCCAGGAACATAAATGGACCCAGGGGTGTGCAAGAATCCCTGAGCAGAACATCCATAAGCCGAAACGTGTGAAGCGTGCTGAGCTAACATGGGTTTTAGTTGTTACATTCCACCAGCTTGCATTAATTTCTGTCTGTCCCTTCAACAACCATGCAGTTCCACTCTCAAACTGCTTAATTCCTACTTAACTGACAAAAATGATGTAAAACTCTGTAAGATTTGCTGAAGTAAAGCAATGTGCAACATAAGTCAGAGGGCAGAGTACAGAGTACAGCAGAGCTACTCTGCATCCACACACAGACAACCAGGTCTCCTCCAAGTGTAGCCACACCACTGCATACAAGAGAAACTGAAACCAGTGCAGCAGTCTCATTAGACCAGTATTGATCTATGTCAATACCAACATTGGTATTGGCATTGTTGATAAGTTGTGCGGATTTAGTCATTACTTATAGACACTGGCTTAGGTCCAAATCTGGCTCCAGTTCTGGGTCAAAAGCAATCTGGACACAACCCGCAGTTCCCAGCTGAGCAGCCTTGAATGGGGCATGGCTTTAACCACACATTTATCCAGGCTTAGGTCGGGAACACCAGGAACCATGCTGGGGACCCCTGACCCCTGTCAGCTCAGCACCATATCACTGTTTGTCAAATGAAATAGTAAAACACACTTGATGCCCATGGTTGAACCATTTTATCTGCTGAAATATATAAATATATCTCTTCCCTTTCTTTTGTGTTTTGTAAGTACTGGAGGTGTTCCCTTAAATCCTTTTCAGCCCTAATGTCGGTTCAACTTAAATATTTAAAAGCACTGGTATACTGGCTGTGTATTTGTTTGGTATCGGATTAATAGCAAAATATGTAGTATCGCATTCCTCTAAAGTTGAGCCATGTTGGGTAGGTGGGTAGGGGAAAACCTCTGTATATAAACATGTATACATTACTCAGAAGATGTGACTTGAGGCTGGGCATGGGTCAAAGATAGCCCATTAGATTGTAGTTTGCTTTTCAGGCTCAGCTACCTTCTCACCACAGCAGAACAGAACAGAACAGCACCGTCTGAACATCTCACCCTCAGAACTGCCATCACTGAAGAACCCAATACCAGGACACAAACTCTTCTCTCTGAGGCAGGGACCCCTGTTTTAAAATCCATTCTTAATTAC